AAATCCACCTGGACTGTTTAAATTGAATTCATGTAAAGGCTGCATTGAGCTTTTGTAATATTTTAAAAAATATGCCCTTAAAAGAATACACCTAGCAGATACAGCTAAAAAGGTGAGCAAGTCTAAAACTAAGGAATATCTTGCATTTGTCATTTTGTATGGCGACTTTCATGCCTGCTGATTAACTGAGTTTCTGAAAGAATGGAATTCACAAATAATCCACAAGATGGCGACTTTATCAAAAGAAACTGGAACATAATATGTAGAAGAGATAATTTTAAAAAGTACTGAATTTAAGTTCATCCGCAGTGAATCAATTTTGCAGCTTTTGTCTCACTTGCAATTTCCATATATCCAGCAATGGTGCTCTCGCTTTAAACTGGGTGCGACTGAACCACACTGATGGAGCATAGATCATGGTTAGAGATTTAGGATAAGATAGTGGTGGCCTCCCTGGCAGGGAGATAGCAGGCACAAATTCACAATGTCAAACCACAGGAGAAAGTTGAAATGTTTTTTACAACATGAACAAATTATTGCTTTGTAATCATTACCAGTCTCTTGTTATTCCTTACAGGGCACAAAGGGCTATTCTTTGGCTGTCAATGTTTTTGCCAGCCAAGGTGGCTGAGCACATATTATTCAAAGGTGGTTAGTAAAGTTGAAACGTCAATAATTTCATGATGAAAAATGACTAACCTTCAGAGAATCATCCACAAGTCTATTACACTAATGCATTTAGCGGTACAGTAAAAAGGGCAGGTGACAGGGCTACAAAGACGGCAGTTATATAAACACCAAATATAGTGGAGTCCTGTAGCTCAGTGGTTAGAGCACTCGCTTTGCATGCAAGAGACCCGAGTTCAATTCCAGGCAGGGCGAAACCTTGGGCAAGTTTCCTTACTCCACACGCCTAATAATAATCCCTCCAAAAACAATAATAAATTGGTCATTTTCAATCTACGACTGTTTGTGGGACATTGCTGTGCGCAATTGGCTGCCGTGTTCGCCCACAAATGTACAGTCAATTCACTTTACAGTGTATTCTGTGAAGCGCTTTGGGACATCCTCCCGACGTGAAAAGTGCTATATCAAATTCAAGGATTATTATTATTATTATTATGTGGCAGCAATATATTCCCCATATCCAAAAAGCTTCGAATAAAACTGCAATTCATATTTGAGATGGTGTACATGGAGGCAAGGGGTGTGGCGTGGGGGGCAGAGATCTCCCCCATATGAATGAATCAATATTTTTCCAGATGAATTGCCACAAAGCATGGCACAAGAATCTCCGAGTAATGGGAATCCACTCAGCCTTCTGAGGGTTAACTACTCTATATTGCTTTGCACAGAGTAAATTTTAATCTAAGGACACTTAACTCAAAGTGTGCTTGAGTAAGCATCTTCCTACATGCATTGTTTTTAATGAGGCATGAGTCTGCTTCATAAGAACCTGCATAGATAAATATTTTATTTTCTCATCAGTTTTCGATTGAGGTATTTGCAACTAGCCAGACACACTTTTATAAGCCATTCCTTGTACTGAACCATCAAAATGTTATTCCATAGTTAAGCGAGATAATCAGTAACAAGACCAATTAATAATAAAGTAGTTATATTTAACCCACACTCGGATGAAATTTGTTTATTAAGGGAGCTTCAGATAGGATTTTTTTTTAAAAATGGGAATTTAATCTTGTTGCCATGCAAACGGCACACACTTGAAAACAGCTTCTGATCTTATTTTGAATATTGCTCAATGCTATTCATTATCCTAGAGTGTAGTTCATTTTTTCCCCTACCTTTTCCTCTAGAATGTAGATTAAACAAATAGTGAGCAGTATATTGGAGTGTTAAGAGTATTGTCATGAAAAAGAGGGAGAAGTATTTGAATTGTAGTATAATTGACTCAGCTGTGAGCAGCCTGTCACTTGCAGATGTTTTAAACTCCATGAGCCACACCACACTTGGATCTGCAACCCTTCATAACCCTAGCTGAGGACAAAGTAGCCTGTTATGGGGTTCACAAAAAATGCAACGAACCTTAAAAGTATCAGCTTAGTTCAGCTGGTAGCACTCTCACACTCTCAGAGTCAGAAGGCTGTGGGTTCAAAGCCCCAAGGGTCTAGGCTGTCACTCCAAAAAGTGCTGGGGGTACCCTGCATTACAGGAGGTTGTGGTCACCTGTTAAGGTGGATGTTAATGATCCCTGCCAGGTTTGCTCATATGGGGTTTGGGAGGGTTCAGAATCTACAAACAGGCAATCACAACCGTTTTTGTGTTAGGGAGAGGAGCAAACCCACATCAGCCAGTGTGCGGCTCTCATCCTGTTCAGTACTTTCACAAATAGATAATCCTCTCAACCTCTGGCACATTAGTGAGGCTGTCATGCTTGTCTCTTTATAACACAAGCAGAGAAAAGGGATCAGGCTACAAACGCTCTTAACTAAGCCAAATACATGGGCTTAGTTCTCACACTGCACTTTGGAAACAGGAGGGAGTGGGGGGGGGGGGGGGGAAATCAACCAGATTGCATTTACATCCTTTTATCGACTTTTCAAACACACATCGGAGATTTCATTCAAACTCTGCAGGATATTATTATTCAAATATTTATTTAAAAGCAGCAGAGATAAGCTTCGATAAGTTGGCGATACAGAACCAACAAATTGATAACCTATTAACAGCATGTAAATTCACTGATGCATTTTTTATCCCAAACACGGCACTACTTTGCCAGTGTGCTTCACTAGGTCTGACCGAGCTAGATTCATGCTTCAGCCAAAGCCCCAGCAGTTCATTAACTCTTCTCATTTTATTTTGAGCACCTTAAGAACAATGAGAAAATGCCAGAGATGTGAAAAACTCAAGATAAGATGAATGTTCAGAAATGACTACGAGTCTCTGGTGTGTGAAAGGTGCTAAGCAAATGTAATTTTGTTGTTGTTGTTAAATGCAGAGCGAAGCATTGCTGGGATCACATTTCAACTTTCAATTATTTTTCACTCGCCGCTGGCTACCATTCAAACAATGAGTCAGCAATTGTGGAATAACAACTGCACATTTGGCAGCATTGATTAGATTTCATCAGAAAATCAACCAATACTTGTATAATTACAGTAACTATATAATATATATATAGAGAGACACACACACTATAATGCAAAAATGTGTCATCCTAGTCAAAAAAAACTGTGAAAATAGCATAATTTTCAATTACAAATGTAAGGCAACAGAGCAGATTGGGAGATATTCTTTTCAACTCTTTTTCGCTCACTTTCAGCACACGTGAAATGTGTTTGGATATTCTGATAGAGCCCCTTTTAGACGTGGGTTTGCAGCTCAAGAAAGACCATCTCCCTCAAAGGAAAACGGTGAGGGCTTCAGGAAATTTAAACGTCACATATTACCTACCGCACACTGAACCAGCGAGGCCCAATCATAATCTGGCAGTACATGATGCTAACAAAAGGTGGCAGCTCTGAGAATGCCCAATGTATGTCAGACAGAACTCAGACTTGGGGGCTTGGCATCATCACCAACCGTAACACTTCACAATGAAAATCAGATATAGAATCCAAGCTTAAGACAAGCTAAGCTAATAGGAATCTTTCCTAATGACCTCAGCAAGCACAAACATTAAAATGTTAGCCAAAGCAGGCCGAAATCCGCAGAAATAGTGGCTAATTCATGCTGCCTGAAGAGAGAAAATTTTATTTCCGGCAGCAGCTCACTTAACTACCAGAAACGAAACTGTTTCACTCCCAGCTGTATAAGCATGGCGAAAACATTGAGAAACATTTGGTAAATACCCCAACAGAACCCGGACGGTACAATAGTTTACTTGGCATCCACAGTGGTGAGTATTACTTGGTAACTAAACAACGCCTGTATCAACAGATCAGCATGAATTATTTCCAAGATTCCAATGGAGGGTTACTCCTAAAAATCTGCACCAAATAAAAAATTAAAAAATCGTGGGTTCAGTCTTACTATTGCTGAATGATGACGGAAAGGGACAGAGTTTAAACAAAAGGTAAAGGCCCGTGTTGAACTATTGCTTTCCAGTTCCAACTAATTGAACGGAAAATGTTTCAATTCATCTTGAGTCGTTATTGCTTCAATTAAAGAATCATAAAAAGTTTGCAACACAGAGGTCATTCGCCCCATTGTACCTGCACTCACCAATACCCCAACTTGGTTAATTTTTTTTAAAATTTCAAAATGTCCTGACCACAAGTAGAGCTTCTTTATCAGACATATGAAGTGGAAGGAAAGTCAAGATATAAGAAGCGAAAGACGAATCTCACAGAACAGCAAACCTCGATCTATCTGGAGTTCTGCCTTTAGGAATTACATACACTATACAAGACAGTGCATGACCATAATTTGAAAACCGAATACTGGGACACACATAAAATAAAAAAAATTTAAACCTCAATTCTTGACGCTAGTATTGGAGCAGTTTGTTGGATGAATGGCATTTTTCTCTGATCAGTTTTAGATTTTTAGTGTTCTTACTCAGTTTGTTGCTGAACTCAACACAGGCCAAATTCAACAAAGGACACAATATCTCATCGAGGGACTTGGGGAGATATAATTACCCTAGTTTATATGAAGAAGTCCCTTCAACACCGCCTGAATTAAAAGGGTACCCAACACGACTTCTATTTTTACCAATTCTCAGGTTTCAACAACTATTTTTGCGGATTGAAATAGTACCTTGTACCTCAAGTCTCAGTCTGCCACAGGAAATTGCTATCAAGTGTAATGACTCCACACATTCGCTGACAGCACACAGAAAAGTTCCACACCCTTGCTTGCATTACTAACCCAAATAACGACAGCAAGGAATGTCCACATGGTCACAGTATCGTTTGAGTATCTCAGAAATCTTTTTATAAGTTGCTGCATTATTGAAAATCAACATTGTCACTTTAAGTAAGTCACTGTGGACTACAATAAATCCTGGAGAGAGTCGTCTCAGAATGACTTACCACAACGATCGCGGATTACCAGGTTCCGTCCTTCTATCAGATTAATGGTCAAAAGGTATGAGGGGCTATGAATTAATCTTGATGATGAATCACTGCTTTTCCCTTCATTTTGTCCACATGTCTGTAAGGAAATTAAATGCATGACAAATGCGCGCATCTGAAATGATACAGTTATACACAAGGTCATGCCAGTATATTTCACAACACTGTTCTTTGGATGCAAGTAAGCCAAGGCAGCACAATAAGATAGCACAGGTTCAGTGTTGTGAGGAGCAATTTCAGGGCAGACACCAGGAATAATTTCTTTACACAGAGGCAAATTAAAGGCAGGAATAAGTTGCCAGATAGAGTTTGAAAAACAGCTTGAGGCTGTATTCGACAAAAGCAGGGTGGGTACTCCAGAAAGATGAGATCAAAGGGTCTCGAAGGGCTTCCTTCAACCAAGCCTCTTGTGCGACCCAGTCATTAAAGGTTATCAGAAGAGTGTGTCATTTTCATCACAATTTAAATCCTACCTGTTCTTCGAAGATTTGTGAACTCTGAGAAGACTCCAGGTCAGTGCTTTCACTGAGATCCTCCTGAAAAATAACGGATTGACTTTAGTAAAACTAGCAAAAATGGTAACCACAACAGCTTGCTAACACAAATGTCTGAGAAAGTAAACACAAATCACCAATGTTTTCACAAAGTTAATACAGTATAATGTTGGAGGTTCTCACACAGCGCTATAGCCTGCTCAATTGGTAGTACTTTCTCCTCAGAATCCAAAAAGAGGAGATTCTCACAGTGACCTGACCAACAAACCCCAGATAAAATAGGTCATTCACTTCATGGCTGTTTGTGGAACATTGCTGTGTGCAAATTAGCTGCCGTGTTCACCCACAAAATGTATACGGTTTACAGTATATCTTGTGAAGTACTTTGAAGCGGTCTCCTGACATGAAAGGTGGTGTACCAAATGTAAGAATTACTATAAAAGTGCAGAATTTCTGCTGAGCTGCATTTGCAGTCAGATCAATGGGGTCCAGAAACATGTCCAAAACCAAACTTATAATATAAAAAAAATGCTTTTAACTTTAAAAAAATACAACAAAAAGTTTTTTTCTTTTTTTTAATTTGATGGGCATGTTTTCCCTTCCACCGGTTTCATTTCCTGCACAACAGATTCCTTATTACTATACTTTGAAGGGATTTGGCGTGGGATTTTCAAACATCTTCTCCGTCTAACATTCACAGCAGGCACGAGAATCGGCTCATCCCAACAGTCTTGTGGCCGTATCTGGCAGCTAATGTCACAAGAGAGGTTAAGATAAACAAGTCCCTTCAGCTCATTTCATTTAATCTTTCCGGCACACACACTCTACTATCCTCCCATTAAAGGGGCAAGTACCTTAAATTTGTCCAACACCCTGACGTTGGCTCTACACAACAACTCTAAATTTCAATTCCTAACACAGTTGGGAGACAATGGCAGTAAATACATGTTTGCTTTCAGAAAACACATAAGGTTTTCTGGTTTATTCCTGGTCTAGTGACATAGGATCAACTTTCAACACCTAGCCAACTCCAATTTAATCTATTCACTGCCTGAAGCTTTCAAAAGCGATTACTCACCAGCAGATGCAAAGATTAGGTATTATAATATTTACTAGAGCAATGTCTATTATAACTATTCAACAGTATAGCCCATTCCCACTATTTCTTGATTCAGGTGGAAAATTGCTTTTAGTTAGAAATTGGGGTGAAATGTGTGGCATTTTATCGACATATTCCTTGTGATAATCACCATCATTAGGGTCATTATTCACTTGTGTCTCAACATTACGACACAAAGCTCTTAGCTACATCACCTTCACCACCTGCACACTTTCCAAGCATCTAGTTGGCATATCATAACCCAGATGGTAATGACAGTCGTGTATTAAGTGTGCTTCCATTTCAAACAATGATAAAATAAAAATTACATTTGTGAATTTTGGGGTGAAAGAAGCAACATTTCATAACACAATCAATGCTAGACTTGTTTCTAATTCTGTTCCTTAAAACAGTCAGTGGAATATGAGTGTCCTGGTCAACAATCCTCCAGTTAATTGTTCATTCATCACTGGCTGTTAGTGGGAAATTGCTCTGTGCAAACTGGCTATGGTGATCATCTATAAATAAACAGCCACCACACCTAACAGTAATTACAGTGGTGCACTTCTGAGACATTTTAACATAAGGCAAGTGCATGGATTATTATTATGATCTCTGGAGAAAGAGGAAAGAGAAATCACTGTCTGCATTAACCAAGAGGGAAAAGGAAGATTGAAGGCAGAGGAGATAGTTTCTCTTTTTGGGAAGGGGAGGAGAGGGAATATTGTCTATTGACGGAACCAAGTGAAAAAGCCTCTGCACGCTACACCACATGACCACCAGCAACCAACAACAACAAAATTACATTTATAGAGCGCCTTTCACGTCGGGAGGACGTCCCAAAGCCTGGACAGTCAGGAGTCGGGACCCGAGCACGGGGGAGGGGTGGACAGAGGTGAGGGAAGGGAGAGAGGTGGGAGAGCTATAACAGCATAAACAGAGAAACGGAAGGGGAAAGCATTGCAGTAAAAATTGAACAGGGTAAAATTTAAGATTGAACTGCACCAATTTAGCTAATGTGTGGGAGGATAATTATTACAATTTTCTGCCGGATAAACCCAAGTTGACATTTTGTTTAGTTTAAGAGTGTAAAGCCAAAGTGGGAGTATCACAATTCATGTCAGTGGGATGAGGGTGTGGGAGAGAAGAGAAGAAGGAAGAGTTAGACTTAGTACATTAAGTGATAACTACAGACAGCAGTTATTGGGCAAGGGTGCACCAGCAAATGTATTATGTAGATGAAAGGTCTTTCAAAGAAATTAGTCTATCACATATGTAGATATGACAATGCGGTATTCCAAAAGGAGAAAGATATTGTCTCTAACACTGTGCTTTGGTCACATAATTCAAGTTACAAATTTAACAAGTATCCCTCAACATACAATAGGCAATATGCTCACATTTTAAAAAACTGATTCAGTGTCAAGTTGTACCAAATTTTGGGAACTTGTTTTCCACATCGTATCTACCAGAAACTGGATCTGAAAGTCAGAGAGCAAGAGAGAGCAAGACAGAGGGGGCAAAAAATAGCACAAGCATCTCATTAGCTTGAGCAGGAAAAATATAATATGCAGTTATTCTGGCTTGATAGGTTTTATTCAAACAGTTACCTAACCTTAGTTACACACCTTTTTGGCAGATTAATGCACTGATGTCAAACCGGTTAAATATAGTAACATACTGGATATTGATGACTTCCCCAGTTTGATGGTGAATGCACTTCTACACAAACATCTTGGAGGATTATATAGTATTTTTAATGAATAAAGTATGAATGGCAAACTGGTGATCAAGTGCTCTCATCAGTTCCTCATAAGAGCAATTCCTTAGTCTACAACTTGCTCTGAACAGGATTCAAAATACTTTGACATCCCTTATAATACCAAAAAAGCACCAATCTTCATGGTAAATGCCAAAATAGAGAGATTATTAAAGAATAATGTAAAAATTACAATTCCTCATTGTGAAACAGAACTGTAAATTACTACGGCATTAGTGATTAGTATAAGATTTATTGGCCAAGAGTTCTTTTAAGACTTCAAGTTGTTTCTTTTTAATATAATTGTTGCTCCTAAGGTAAATCGTTCATCATAGAACGTGTGGAAACATTGCAAAACGAGGCGATTTGGTTTCTTTCACAGAAACATTTTAGCTGGAAAAGACTGGTAGCTACCTGCACAACCACAAAGAAAAAACTATGAATACGGATGGGATCACGGAAGGAATATTTGGGAATAGTTATCAGTGACATCAGCATACATTCAGTTAGGTCAAAAAAAACTTTACACAGGATGGATGGAACGTGGAATTCTCTCCGACACACTGTAATTGAAGCAGGGTCCATATATTATTTGCTAGCCGATTGAGAGGTGCTCAAGGAGGAAAAGTATTAAAGGTGTGTGGAGCAAATAAGGAGAATGGGATGAGATTGTCTCACATGGATAAAAGCAGACATGAATGAACAGTTGACTGTGTTGTACCATTTTTATGGGACCAGTGACCAAAACTAAGGTTAAAATTAAATGAATTTTAAATTTTAAAATTAATTAGCCTTATACTGGCTAAGGTGGTGGGTGGGGCGGGGGGGAAGAGGATCGATTTCATCCCGAGGATAACATTAAATCCTTCACTGCTTTTAACCACATTTTTGGTCCATGTGAAAATACCACATGCTGGATTCTGACTCTATATACATTGATATAAACTGCTCACCTTTCCATAATTTGATACGACAGACAATTTGAAACAAATGCGTCATTGGCAACTCAAAAGCACTTTTTAAACCTCACAGCATATTCCATTTGTGACCTGGTCATTCAGAATAACTTAATTTTCCTCAAAAGTTAAATGTTCTTGCAATACAACCTTGTGTTTGATAAGCTTTGTTAACAGCAGCTTAATTATGGACTTTACAAGCCAGTGTTCGATTAATAATCACACCCAAATCCTTTTCCATCTCTGCAAATGAGCATCTCTTTCTTGTGTACATATTTGCCATTTCTTATTCCAACATGGATAACATTGCATTTATCTATATTAAATCCATCTGCCAACTATTGGCTTGACTGCACAATTGTTCCTACTTTGTGCATGATTATGTTTGCATAGATATAACCTGATAGTGTAAATGAGCTTCAAAGTTTTATTAAGCTGGCCTCAGCAGGCCTCATGAGGATTTGACTGCATTGTTTGGATATCAATAAATTCTTCTAATGTCAGATAAGGGATAAGATGCATCTCTGTGTCAGTTTAGGAGGGCTTTTAAAAGTATATATCAGAAAAGTGCAAGTATTGGAGTAAATATAGTATGCTCTATTCTTTTGGGTGGAGGGGAGGTAAGCAGTACAGTACTCATGGCATTTTCGTGCCCTAAGGAGACATAATGCCTATTCTTCCTGTCCTACAGAACATCCTCTGGAATGAAATAGCTGAATTTATTTGCAATAGACAATTACTTAAGTGGGGGGAAGGGGGAATTAAGTCTATTCAGGTGAACGTTAAAACTCCCATGACATTGTTCGAAAAGTAGGGAGTTCATCCCAGTGTCCTGCCCAGCAATCTTTCACATACAAAAACAATTGATCACTCATTTCCCTATCCTGACTGAAGTTTGGAGGGTATTGCTGTTTACAAATTGGCAGCTGTACTTGCCTACAAATACAGTCACTGTATGTAACAGAAAACTATGAAACACTTTCAGACATTGATGTGAGGTGCTATATCAAATGCAAGGAAATGACCTGATCACATATTTTACTGGATCTCATGAACATTTGAAGCACCTGTGAATCATTGCACTCAGTTCAAATGAAAGAATATCCTTGGATCTAAGTGGATGGCATTTGCGGCACCGGTCAGATCGCTCAGCTGAATAAATGAAGCAGCCATGACAAATTAGATACAGTACACCATCATTCAAAGAACTACTAATCCTAATGAGGAACTAAGGGAACAGGTTTCTATAGTATGACATTCTACTAAAGGTACAGAGGAGGACTGATCAGAAGAGCAATCCAGTTTAAAATTATCCGCTTAGGTAACTTGGAAGTTTTGCTTCTGTTGGCACAACTTCCTTAAAAGTAATTAGAGCTCATCAGCACATAAATGGACCACACCCTCTGGGAACTCATTTTACCAGAAATATATAGTGTGCGCAATGATTATTTCTGTCAGTCTGTAAATGACTAAGAAGTATGGCTGCTTAGGAACAGAAATTCAATAGAGCGTTGAAATGATAAGGTGTCATTATCATGGAAATGTTAAAGGTATATTCCAGGGAAACGCATACAAATAACTGGAGGTGTTCCCCTATTGTCTGGCAATATTTAAGACAAAATGTAGATTTGTATGTCAGATTCCAAATTGTGTCAGTCCTAAAACAGTTCCCAAAACGGTGAATCTTGGATACGTTTCAGGCGACTCTCGAGCTCTGCATCGATACTGATCTCACTTTCCTCTTGCTTACAGTGATCACCAATGCGAAGCCACTTTTTTATTAAACTCACAAGCCATGCTAGAAGGTCCTCATTCATGTCTTTGCACCTCCACAATCTGACAAAAGGCTGAAGAGCAAAAACTCCAATGCCCAGCATCAATCTCAGTCCCTTTTTGCACTTCAAAGCTATCAGAAATTATAATTTCTTTTCTTTTCGACCGCGCCTTTGGTCACCTTCCCCCGGCTCGGTCCCGGGATCTGCTACTGTAAAGCGCTCTGAGACACCGTCCGGCGTGGAGGGAGCTATATAAATCCAAGTTGTTGTTGTTATAATCATTTGTTTTGCAAATATCGCTAAATAGGCAAGAGAAGCTGCAAATTAGGGTTTCCCCACTACATTTGCAAACATCGGAAATCCAATCACAAAATGTAAAGGCATATGTGAGAGATGAAATTCTAGGTGCTCTTAATTTTGTAACTGACAGGTAATGATTAAAGGATCGCTTGCAACTGGTTGTTAATTCCAGAAGTAAGGACATCTGTAATGTCATTTGAGGTTGGCTTTGACTGAAATGAACGATTCGATTCTATGTATTGCTGGGTAATCGGTCCCCTTTTTCTTTCCAATCCCAATCATAAAGATTAACCTTTTGCAATCATCAGGAATGATGCTAAGCACACTATGGGTATGATTGTTCCATTTAACCTCAAGTCCTTGATAATCTTGAGATCAACCTACAGTTGGTTAAGATCACTTAAGAATTCAGCATTCTGAAGTCAACCATCCTTCCCGATAACTCGATCTAGCTGTCAATTACCCAGCGTGTAAACAAGCACTTGCTGATGTGCATCTTAAAATTATCTATCACAATAATGAAACTGCACCCTCATGCTTTGCTGTCTTGGTGAATTTAAAGGCATAGGAATAGAACAAACTCAAAACATGCACATTAATCCAAGCAAAGAAGTCTTTTCAATACTACTCATTGAATGTGTTTGTATAAGTTACATACCTCATATTTCTCTCCCATTGTCCCACCACACAAGTCATTGCACAAAGTGCCCTCAGCACACGTTTTACTGGATTCCTTGACAACCACTGGTAACTCAGTACTTTGGAATTTTTCACTGCAGCACATTTCTGTATGAAAAGATGCCTCTGACGCAATGTTGGCAGTTTCCTTAGGCTCTGTTTGCTCATTGTTGTCAATGGGTTTCTTCAACGGAGTAGATGGGCTGCTGAAGTAAGTAACATTGGAGCTTGACACAGCAGAATTGGAGCTATCTTCAGCATTGGCAGTGCCCACTTGCACCATGTCCGGCTCTGAAAAACTCAGCCGCTGGTCCAAGAGTTGTTTTTTTCCATCTTTCCGTTTCCTCAAATTTGGCAGAAAAGGTCTGGTTTTCTCTCGGAAGGACTGCCACGCTGTAATTCCCTTTTGTGGCTCCATCAATCAACCTTTGCCCTCTGGTTCTGTAACATATTGAGAGACAGGTCCTGGTCACTTACAGAGCCATCAACCACACAGCAGTTTCACAAATTCATTCAACATATGGTTTCTCTTCAGATAATATCTTTTTGCTCATCTTTTCATGAACAGACCTTTTTTTTAATATTAAGATACAAGGATAAAACATAATGAAGCATAAAAAAAGAATCTTTTGACTTCTGGGATCTGAATTCACACAACACTGAGTTGAAGGTATCCTCTTCTTACTACCAATCACCACAAGCTAGATCCATCTTTGTCCTTATAGGACTTGGCCCCAGCACAAGTCTCATAAATTTACTGCAATTGACATTCAGTTGCCACATTTAATCATCAATGCCCACATCCTTTAGCAAATGGGACTTTTGCCACGACAAACAATGCATACTTTTCATTTCTGAATGCATATCCAGGTCAACAAGACCCAACTAAGAAAAGGTCTGATTCGAGAGGTCCAGAGCAGTGCAATGTGGCAGCTGGAGCTTCACCAAGAGAAAAGCCTTGTCCTCGCACTTCAAACCCAACCACTGGAGCATTCCTCGACCTTCCTAACTTGCTGTTCTACTACTTCTACGCTGGAGTGACACTAAATGGTAATTCACGACACTATACCATATAGAAAAAAAAATACATTTCCACAATGCACCCAACCACAAGGATTTAACTACAGTATTTTTATCTTTGTCTTGAAACTCACTGTAAGCAGAAGAATGGATAGGTAGGTAAATCTGTAGTGCCTCACCAATTCTGAAAGGGAGCGCAATGTTAACATGGAATCTGTATAAAACTACAGGCAGCAAATTCACATCTACATTATAGGATTGTTACCCTTCAAAAATATTTTAGGAGTCATTAAAAAGCTCACTTGTCGAAATTCTGAATAACAGCTTGGTGAAAACTCATTTATGTTGACTTGACAGTTTGCTGATAAGCATCTAACCACATTGGGCCTCACTCAGACACAAATTTTGTGCTTCAACAGCTTTTTCGAACACTTCTACAATTTACTGTAATTTGCCTCAAATCATATATTTTTTAATAAGACTGAGTAAATCAATTTGTCATTTATTCCACGGCCATTTGTGGAAGATTGTGGTATGCAAATTAGCTGTTGTGTTCACCTACAAAAAACATAGCTACTACACTTTAAAATATATCCTGTACAGTGTTTTGAGATGTCCTCTGGATGTGAAAGGCGTTATCAAATAAAAGGATTATTACAGGTATTAAAACTACTCTTTTATCTACAATTGCACATTCAAAGGCTCCATCAGCCTAGTAGAGTTTGTCTCTTTGCATTCATTTTATTAAAATATTTGATGAATTCATGCAATCGCTTGCTTATTATTGGTAAGAATTTGCATCCAATTTTCTACAAACAGAAAATGTCACAGTGAACCATGATAGAAGAGAAATCCTTCCTCCTTGTACAGTTGACAAGATCACTGCCAAGAAATATTGAGGACTGGTCAAATGGGATTTGGTGATATTTATTATTAAATGTTTGAACTTTAGCCATGCCCTGTCCCCTCATAATCTGCTCCTGCGCCACTGGGCACCACATTGTGAATTTCTGATGCTACTTCACTGATCAGCCACTGAAAGCAGAGAGAACAGTGAGCCATCAAACATGTTAAAACCAAGAGACTGAGCCAGCACTATGACTCATTCGCATCATTCATACTTCTAAAAGCAATCCTCCCTCCTCCACTTTCTGAGAAATGCACTGGGTTCTGTCGTGAGCAAACACGAAAGGCTTAACATCAACAGTCCCAAAAGTAAGCTATTTATTTAAAATATTTTAGTAGTAGCATTCGGTCATTAATTCGAGGATGGAATCAATGTGTACCAGGTTCAAAGACAAACTTTGGCCTTTTCATGGGTCCACATAGATCCACCTATCCGCTTGTTTCCCCATCAGTGGAGATACCATAAAATATACTCTACTTTCAGTGGCAACGGGCAGTTTGATCGGACTGTTTAACCCTGATGCATTTTCATTTGAGACTCATGCATTCTGGTAATGCACCCACAGTCCAATTCAAATAACCCGTTTCAAAAATCATTTGGGCTTTCATCATGTTAAACAACTAGATTGCATTTCCATCATTTTGTTTCCTGATGAGAATGTTTGACACCAGAAGCCTTTCATAAAATGACCCAAATTGTTTTTGTTGGTCTTCCTTTCTCTCTAATGCTTCATTGTCTTTTTGATGTTCATGTGCTAAAATACGCACTCTTTGGATCATCGCTAATCTACCGCAGGCTGAAATAACTTCTTTCAACTTTTAGTCAGATACCCTCAAAAACCAATCCACTGATGAATTAAGCTTGGCTGCAACAGCTTTTCATTGACTGGAAATCTTCAGTGAATCAGCCAAATCCCTTTACATCTCTACTAATGGATATTCCTTCATTTTGTAAGTGTTTTTTCAATATGCATCTACATTTAGATTAAAACACACCTAATATTCCATATCTCATCAGTGAAGTAGGCTAAATCTCTATGAACGGTGATTATCCTTATATTTACTCGCCTATATATCTTGGTGTCTTAAGTAAATTGTACAATACAGAAAATTCCTGGAAACTCGTCACACCTAGAGAAAAGATCTCACTGATAAGTTATCAGGAGGAGCGATTTAGGCATATGTATAAATGCCTAAATAAATGCAGCCAGGATATTGACTGCATGATGATTTAGGTGGTAGTGACAAGTTAAGCCAGGGTCATCAGGAGTTCACTGTATTTAGACAAAAATTCTTGGTAAAATAATGATAATTGCACTTTGCTTATCTGTATTCAGATGGTCATAAAATCATTAACCACATTCAGTTAATACGAAATAGTCTCACTAACTATTTCGTCCATTGAAGTCAGATCCATGCCCTGTGCTTTTTTAGTTGTTAGTATCCTTCACACCACAACCTCTGGATAATAGTTTATAAATCAGTGAACCTGGCAAAGCAAGTTTACATTTGGCCACTTGCAAACTTTTCCCAACACTCTAGTAATTCAATATCACGCTAATGGACTCAATATATTTTCTGAACTTAGCAGCTAAGCTAAATAAAATCCTTTTCATTGCTTCAAGATGATTCATAATGGTACCAGGAAGATATAAGCATTCAATTTATTTTGCAAACTCAGCCATGTATTAACTTATTGCTTGTCAATGGTAATAAAACCAAATTCAAATTTGATTTAAAGCGATGATATGGTAAGTAATTTAAAACATTGGAATGAATATGGCTAACTTATTTAAGTTAATTGGATCGCCCCTTAATAAATTGGACACTTGTAGCTGACTGGTGGTAAGCATTTGATGCTTTGTTAAGGCCTCATATTCGCCTACAAGTTAACACACCGACAAGTATCCTTATTGTCTAAAGTGCAATTTGCTGCTGATTGATAATTGAGCAGAAAATGACTGGCAGTCTGATTACACGGACCAACATTCTTCATTAGCTACAATTCTCCATTTTATCCTGCTGACAAACACTTCAGAATTACTCGTCTCAGATGCTCAGTAAGACTTGGGCGGAACACACAAAAGCAATAAACATTAAAGTTCATTTTCACTGTGTGGCAATTTTTCTTTTAAAGCAAGCATAATCGATGTACATTTGTTACAATTCTCCCTTTAGTAAATGTTGCTGTTGATTTTAGTGTTTGATAGAAACTTTAACCATCTGTAACTTTGATGAGCACACCTTGATAGCTGTGTAACAGGTAGCAGTAAAGGGAGTGGCATAGCAGACACATGCAACGTAGCAAGAAACCAGCATACCAACTACTCACACTGGCCTGCCACAAGCTATGTCCTGTTTTTAATTCAACTCTTCAAAAAGGGAGAGTATACAAGAATAAATTTAGCTCCATTTTTAATTCTCCACAATCACTGTCCTCGAAATAGTAATTCTTGCATTTGACACAGCACCTTTCACACCAAGAGAACATTTTAAAGTGCTTTTACTGTAATGACTATATTTTGTAGACAAATGCTGCTCTGGAAATGTGTTCAAAAAGCAAATAGGGTTGTGGCAAGTCGAGCATTTGCCTAAGAGTAATCCATGCTTAGATTTGTGCCAACATTACCATTAGCCAAGTTTCAAGAATATACATGCATGCTAAATACTGATTGCCTTTGATGTTCAGTAAGGCACAAGTGTGCAACTTCAGTTACAAATATGGAACAGTAAACTGGTACTGTGTAACACCACTAAAGGGTGAAAGTTATAGAGGTTTAGAGTGCTGGCAAATAGAATTAATGAGAAGGAAAGTTACCAATTAATCCATAACCAAAAGAGTCATTAAACATCTGCACTAGGGCATGTGCCAAATGCATTGATTCAGTATATTTTAACATAGACGTAAAGTGAAGCCAGTTCTGAAGGTTGAGTATGAATCGCCAACATAATAGCAACAGAGCATTTGATTTTAATCTACGTTTCATACAGTGCAAAGAGGAGGCCTGCATAACAGTAACAGTGGGCAAGAACTTTCTAATGAAATTCAACAATTCCCATCAAGAGTAAGAGTATACCCGACAGAATTCCCACGACATGAGTCAGTCATTAAAAAAATAAAAGGTTTCATGCAGAGGATTACAAACCAAAGAGAAGAAAATCTGGGGCATTGCCATTTCAAAAGGTATAAAAACCACCATGAAATTTGGTGCAGTGCTGCTTGCCTGTGTAAACCAAACTGACAGTTCCACACGTTGTACTTAGATGTAATAAAACCTCTCGTTTCAAGGAACACTCACACAAAGCTCAACTCCCTTCTTCTGCTGTTTTTCACATTGCTCACCCACTCACTGCCAAACCACATTTAAATTACAAAGAAAAGCCAGCAGTAACTGGAAATGCATGAAATTACCTTTTGTTGTGCATGCTTGTTTTTTTTGACATATTATATATATATACACACACATAGATATATTATGTATATTATATATACACACACACACTTTAGCAAAGGCAGCACTTTAAACATATCAAGCTGATGAAGTTAAAAATGGTGGGTGATCTCTATCTCAAACAAAGTTGTGGGATGCAGGCAAAGAAACGAAACAAAAGGAACACAGGTTTTAATGCCAGCAGACCACATGACGGTAGTTCCTGCAGTCCAAGTAACCATTCATTATCTGACATTTTTTAAACCTATGATCATAAGTTCACAGGAAAGGTTTGGATGACTGCTCGTCAGCCCATTTAACTCACCCTTCCATATTACCCACCTTACTATCAGTGGTCCCATTCTTTCTCCTCTTCTAGCCCCGTCACAGCATTAAGCTGCTTTTTTTAAAATGGGTTTAGCTTCCTGGTCTCAGCCACCCTTCCTGATAACCTATTCACATTGTTAATTATCCTCTGGATAAAGAAAGAGCACACCTTTTGAGTTGCAGAGACTGAGTCTCAAAAGCTGAACTGCGAAGATGATCCTTTTTTTTAAAATTTCAAATATGATCTCTTTTGATGAATGTCAATTCTAATTAAAGCATATCTGTACACATTTAAATGGTTTGTTTTTAAGCCACACCACTCCTAGCAATCAGAAAAGTAATTGTGGTGCCCCAAATTGTACGCCTTGACAGCTCAGATTGTGCCTATGAATTTTCAGGATGATTGTGAAATCGTATCTGAAAACAGTCCCAGACTGCTGTCTCCTTGCATATATTGTACATCATTGCTTCCCAGCCCTTACCACTTGAAATTAATAACTACTTATGTTAAATCCATGACTGTTTGTGGGACACTGCTGTGCGCAATTTGTTTCCACATTTCGCCCACAATATACAGTCAGTTCACTTTACAATACATTCTGTGAAGCTCTTTGAGACATCTAGAAAATGTGAAAAGCACAAATATCAAATGCAAAGATTATTATTAATGACATGTCATGAAAACATGCGAATGTTTATACTCTATTCTTCTCCCACTTAAGATGTTCTTTGTCTCACCTGGTCAAACATAACAGCCAGTCTCACTGCACCAGGCCTCATTATACACAAACAGATTGCTGCCCATTACTAAGCAGGAATCCGGAACCATATCATGGTTAGACCCTTATATAAACCATATAGTTTAGAACCCTTATCCAGACCGTACTCTTTGACCCTTCTTCCCTCCCTGCCCTCCATCCTTCCCAAACCTGACCCCCAGCTTATGTCCGAAAGACTGATTGTCCAGCACCTTGGATGTGAAAGGCGCTATATACAAATGTAAATTCTTTGTTGTTTAGGAAGAATCATATCACATGTGGGAAAAAGTAGGAAAAACACTCAACTGCTTGGGCGTCTCAGGTGACAGATCCCCAATTTGCCATCCAGGAAAACGTCCACTGGGCAAATCTCTGACAAGTGGATTGTACGTTAAAATTACAACTGAACTCTGGGAAGCAAATAAAAGCTTTTAGCACCAGTGTATAAACTAATTTGGCAATCAATCTTATTTATGCCTTTACATTAGTCATCAGTAACTAAATTTGACGCAGAGTGAAGCCAGCACGAAGCAGGGTAACAAAGCAAACTGAAAGAACATCAACCTCTTTTATGCCTCGAGACTTTTGCTCTCCATGAGTTTCTATTCTTTCCTTAGGGCGCACTCAGTTGACCAGGTCACATATCCTCTGAGACGGTGAGCAGATAGTCTTCTCTCAGACCTCTGCCAATAATATTCTTCAGCCACAATCACAAGAGTAACCCACAACTATGTTTTAATATTTTAATATGCATGTTGCCCTGCAAACAAAGATCCACTTATAATTTGATCCTGTCACTTTATTCCAGTCCCCATCAATCCAAATTTGCAATAGACACCAGTTTGTTGGAATGATTATTGTGATGGCTTTCTCAGTAAGAGAAGGAATCAAAAATATCTACAAATAGTCGGTACAATGGGTAAATAACAAAGGTATCAAAAGTCTTGTTTTGACATTGAGTTTGTGCACCAGGTGATACCTACCCTCTTTTGCACGTCATTGACCATAAGATATATTTCCTCATGTCCGGTTTCCTTTAAACATGCAAGATGTTTAAAGGAAAGGTCATGTTACAACACTATATACTTGCAATACTCTCTACAAATGAGGAACTGTATTTCAAGTGGAAATAGCATCAGTTCATAAAAAAATATTTCTGTCTTATACTGATGAAAGGCGAAGCGTTGGGATTAAAAGATCTGCCAAGATCTAAAACTGGTGGAACAGGTTCAATGGTCTGAATGGCCTTCTCCTGTCCCCTATTCCAAAAATGATCCCAATTCTACAAGATTGTATTTCAACCAGAAGCAGCATTGCTATATCCTAAACTCCTGGTGTCATGACTCAATTCCTATTTACCCTGCTCAGTGGATATTACAACAGCAATAGTACAACACGCAATGCACTATACAAGCGGACTGTTCATGACTTTAGTTTCTGGCAATCAGAGTCTTGGTGATGTCTTGATTTTGATATTCCATTACTGACCACATCACCTTGGAAAGAGTTACCTTAAGCCACCTTTGAATAATTATCGCACAAACACAAAGAACGCCCCTCATTGCAGGGTAACATCCCAAAGTACGGAGGACTAGTGACCGTAAGTGACCATAAGCACAGTCGAGGAGGAAGGTCTTCAGGCGCGACCTGAAGTTGCGAAAGGAGGGGCAAGGCAGAAAGATTGAGGCAGTGTGTCACTAAGATCTGTCAGCCACCTCTGACTGATCATTACGTTTTTATTGTACATGAAAAATATAATGTAAAAAAAATAAATTTGGGGCATTTGGGGGGAATATGTGTAATCCTTTTATAAAATAGTGGGGAAGAAACGTTACTCGGCGTGTTACTTAGATCTTGGAGATGAGTGTATTTCCTGACTGCCTTGTCTGTGTGCTTTTCATTCTAGGTCTGGGTCTATTCTAAGTCTGGGTCTATTCTAGGTCTGGGTCTATTCTAGGTCTGGGTCTATTCTACTCTGTTCTGTGTCATACAAACAGCGAGCCGTGGATCAAAGTGGATTCATTTCACAATTGAATCCAACAGCGGATTATAAAAGCAAAAACAAATGCTTCAACAGCAAACCAGACAGGGATCTGAACACCACTCTCTCCTTTTTCCCCCTTCCCCTCCCCCCACCCCAACACATCCAAAAAAAACTTTCACAGTCATCATCACTGCCATCCAAAGTGCATGGAGATCCACGTTTAGACAGGTCAGAGCCTGGTTAAAGGCGAGTTAAGAGGGACATCACCACCACCAACAAAAGCCACTCACAGTCTCTCCTCTCCTCTCCCTCACACATTGCACCCCTCCACCCCACCGAACCCCCTTTATTGTTAAGTGTCTTTTTTTTTTCGCAGATGATGGTTCACAACCCTGAGCTCTGCAACAGGTACAGACAGACAGACAGAGAGAGAGAGAGAGAGGGGGAGAGAGAGAGGGCAGAAGGCGCAGAGATGGGGAACGAGAATGAGAAAGACCCCCAAAAAGGCAAAGCCAAAGGCAAAGCAAAACAAAGGCAATCGCGATCTTAGGATTAAAGCGAACACAGAGGGGAGGGGAGGAAAGAGAGTCGCTTAGAACAAAAAAAAATCATCTCCCTACCTGCTGATGGAGGAGGAGGAGGAGGAGGAAGAGTGGGAGAGTTTTACCTCTTATTGAGGGGCTGAGCTGCACATTGAACTGATGGCTTTTTTTTTTGTGGAGACCCCACAGGTTTGATGCAAGAACAAGACTTCCTGATCAGTCCCAGTCAATGAGTGTGTGAGACAGACCTTAAGTGGGAGGTCGGATGCAATGCTGTCTTCTCATCACATCACTTTCACTTCCGACAATAAATGCAGCATTTTTTCTCTCTCTCTCTCTCTCTTTCTCTCTCACTCACTCACTCGCTCACTCACTCACTCACTCACTCACTCTCCCTTTTGCCTTCAAACGCCTTCTTTCGGCCTCGACGGTAAAATGCAGCAAGTGATTGATGTTTGAAGTCGGCAGTGTGTGTGTGTGGGGCTGTCTCTCCAATTCGTTGCTCTGCAGCCAAAAGAAAGTGTGGCTGAAGTCTCGACCTTTGGGTCGTTGCTCTGCTGTGGCTTCTCTTCTCCAATTCACGCACAGACACGAGCGTCGAGACGAAGGAAAGCATCTGCAGGAAAAGAAACCTCAACGTCTGACAGCAGTGCGGAGCCAATGCTAAAAAAAAAAGGGGCTGCTTTGAGCCTTTTGCACCTTTGCACCTGTAGGAGGCTTTTGGGGAGGAGAATAAAACTCATATGATTGAGGCTGATACACACACACACACACACACACCTCCCTCTTTGGTCCATTGCACACTCCCAGGTGGTCGATTGAAACTGCTCCATAGCCTTAAATGAGCGATCCATCGAAACCACACTAACCCCCACCTGGTTTCTCAGTGAAATCATCTTTACCGGGGATTTTTTTAATATATATATATCCAAACAAAACTGTCTGTTTGAGATGATATTATAATAATAATAATAATAATAATCCTTGCATTTAATATAGCGCTTTTCACGTCGGGAGGACGTCCCAAAGCGCTTCACAGAACACACTGTAAAGTGAATTGACTGTATATTTGTGGGCGAACGCGGCGGCCAATTGCGCACAGCAATGTCCCACAAACAGTCATGGATTGAAAATGACCAATTTATTATTGTTTTTGGTTTTGGAGGGATTATTATTAGGCTCTGTGTGGAGTAAGGAAACTTGCCCAAGGTTTAGGTATATATGAACGTGGTCACTAGGTACAGCAGGGGTTCTTCCCACTCAGCTCCTGTTGACCTTGCAACCCAGTGCCCTCACTACATGGGGGGGTTGCAGGTAGACAAGCAGCAGAAGGCTTACCAGACTGTGCTCTCAGTGGAAAGCTATGTGGTTTTAGCTGCTGAATCCCTCCAGGGAGAGAGTGGGCTTTCCATTCCAGTCACAGGAATATTTCCACCTGTTGGTGGCATACATATGTGGAAGTCCCAATTGGATGCTCTTGAGCATGGTGATAGGGTTCCACAGGTGTCTGACCCAAATACATTTTGTGTTTGAAACATGCCGAAACCCATCAGCACCTTAAGAGTACCCAAACAGTTTAAACTCAACCCAGTAAATTCCACTCTTGAAGTGACTATTCCTCTATTTAAACAAATTTGCCTTACCCTGCTTTCATCGGGAGGCTCTTCCCTGTATTGATTAGTCCGTGGAGTTTTTAAAAACTTCTGGGGGAGGGGGAAGAGAGTGTTTTNAAAAAAAATTATACATCAAGCAGGTGGGCAAATGCGACATGCATGAAAGGCGCTATATAGATGTGACGAGACCTGTCTTACCTCTTGTCCAAGAGGAATGCTGAAGTCAACCTTCCAGGAGGTAGACATGGTGTATAGATTCAATTTTGGTTTAAATGATTTGATAAAAAGCGATAGAATCTTTTTGAAGAATTATTCTGCAAGACACGTCCCACTAGGTTTTTAATCCTCCCATTTCTTCCAAAGATGTCAAACGAAATCCGCACTGAGAACAATACTATCAAGCAAAATCCAATTGGATGTTCTTGAGCATGGTGATAGGGTTCCACANTTTTTTTTGAGTAGGAACAAGTACTATGATCATATTTGTAAGCAAGACATGTGTCTGACAGCTCAGTTGAATACAAAGTCTGGACAAAATAAGCAAACTGGTCACCTTCAACGCATCATAACTCTTTAACTTTTTTGAATCCATGCTATAACACTGGAGTAAAGGTAATAACCATCATTGTTAATTATAAAGAGCAGCCTTCAACTTTATGCGTTGTCAAAATCTGAAATGGATTGCCCGCGAATGCATGGGTTAGGTCTTATTTAAACAAAATGCACTTATCCTAAGTGACAGATTAAGTAGGATGCAAGGCTAAATTCCATTTGTTAATGCAATGCACAACTCTGCCTGCCAAAAGCACAAAATAAATCAATTTTATTCATTACCAATTCCTTTCATTCCTATTGCATTCGTGACTGAGTACTGTAAATAGGCAAGAAGTAGACTCATGTGGGCCTGAATATTGGGAGACCAATTTCTCCTTGGTTACGTATGGGCTTATCTTCTCGCCTCCTTCATGGTGTGTCATAGAATCGTACAGCACAGATGGAGATCATTCAGCCCATTGTGCCTGTGTCTGCTCTATTGGATTTAACGGCATCTTAAAATAAGTACAGAGTTAATAATAATAATAATCCTTGCATTTTGATATAGACATTATCATGTCTTTGAGACGTCTCAAAGTGCTTCACAGAATATACTGTAAAGTGAATTGATGGTATATTTTGTGGACGAAACACGGCAGCCAATTGCACACAGTAGTGTCCCACAAACAGCCGTGGATTGAAGTGACCAATTTTTTTTGGAAGGAATTATTACCCCTGGAAAAGCAATTCGCCAATTGACTAACAACCAGGTTCCTACTTACTACGAGGTAAACAGAGTTGTGTGGAGTAAGGAAACTTGCCAACGTTTTGCCCTGCCAGGAATTGAACCCAGGTTTCTCGCTTGTGAGGTGAGTGCTCTAACCACTGAGCTACCTGCGATGAATTATGACAGTTAAAGAACATGTGGGATTTCACCCCCTGATTTAATAATCCATGCATTTGATATAGTGTCTTTTATGTCACAAAGGTGTCTCAAAGTGCTTCACAGGATGTATTGTAGCGTGTGTATTGGAAGGCGAACACAGCAGCCAATTTGCACATAGCAATGCCACACAAACAGCCATCAAGTGAATGATCAATTTTATGTGAAGAATGTTAACCAGGACACCGGAAAACATCCCCTCTTCTTTTCAAAGGGATTTTCCTCTTCGACCGTGCTTTCGATTTCTCTGCTTCCCCCTGCCCTCCAGTATCCCCCACCCCGACCTCCAGTTCAGGTCCGTAACTCTGTCTGTCCAGCGCCTTGGGACGTCCTCTCGACGTGAAAGGAGCTATACAAATGTAATTTTGTTGTTGTTGTTCAATGCCCACCTGAAGATTTCAGTCCCATTGTGTAGAATATGTGCAACACAACTTTCAGCTGCTTTTGTTTACTTTCATTCGAGAACAATCATGGCACAAGATAATAAAAATTCCAGCTTTGATCTATACCTACAAACTTTGAGCAAGTTTGAGCAGCTGAGTCCAGGAATTTGAAGTTTGACAATTTGAAGAATGAGGAAACACTGAGCTATGTAATTATTCCTTATCATTTACTATTGTCCGTGTACAATAGAGGCAAGATTGGAAATCTGGTTGTACAACTTAGGCCTATTAGATGAAAAGGTTTAGGAAAGGCACAGGATTTATAAGTTCTTGCTTTGATAATAGATGGCATCATCTTGGGCGACTTTAACCTCTACTTCACCCTTTCTGCTGACTTCTCCTCCCTCCTCTTACAACCTCTCCCTCCATATCAACGCCGCCATTCACATCCATGGCCACCTGCTAGACCTGGTGATCACCTGGGACCTTACCGTCTCTGATGTCACCATCACTGACAAAGACATTTCAGATCACTATTTCATCTCCCTTAACTCCTCCATCCCCTTCCCTGCCACTCTCCCCACATTCATCTCCTATCACCCCTAGAGAAAAATTCCCCTCCATGCCCTCTCCGCTGCCCTGGAGGCATCTGAACGCCTACCCCTTTAGCCCTCCTCCTGCAATGACCTACCCTCCTTGGTCACCCTCCTAAACAACTCCTTCTCAGTCGTCCTTGACATGCTTGCCCCCATCATCACCCGCACCGCCTCCTCCTCCCACAAATCCCACTGGTACAACAGTCACCTCCGCTCCCTCAAATCTCAGGTGTGCTCCGCCGCAAATCCAAATTAACGGTTCATCGTCAAATCTGGCAGGACTGCACCAAGACCTGCCACTCTGCCCTTGCCTCGGTTAAGTCATCCTTTAATTCCAAAATCATCTTGGAAGCTAAGGACAACCCCAGACTCCTCTTTTCTACATAAACCAACTCCGCCGTCCACCCTTCCAGGGCTTTGCCATGTCTCCAACAACAAATGTCTCACCAGCCCACTTCAGGTCCCCCGCACTTCCCGCCCCACCATTGGCGGCTGGGCATCAGCATCTCTGCCCCCACACTCTGTAATTCCGCAATCCCTCCGCCTCACCCCGTCTCTTGCCTCCTTAAAGTCCCGTCTGAATACCATCTTCTTCAATCATGCCTTCTGCCACCCTCCCACCCCCAGCCCCCTGCCCTACTCCCCTTCTGACCCCAACTTCCAGCTCGGGTCCAAACCTGATTGTCCCGAGCCCTGGGACGTCTTTCTGATGTGATTGGCGCTATACAAGTGTAATTTGTTGTTGTTGGCTGGGTTAGAGTTATGGTTTAGGGTTAGTTTTTTTTATGGGTTAGGGTTTTAAACAAAAGAAATAGAAAACAAACATAAATATCAAACGCAATTCCTTATGTAACTTTCAGGATGAGTCCTTATGCCCCCCAGGACTTTGATCATTCCTCAAGTGTTTCCACTTCGAGCAGATCAAGCTGTGATCATAGATTGCTTTTCTTGAAGCTGAGCAACATAAATTTTGTTTTTGCAAAAACATTCAGAAACTTTGCACAATATTGCTTGAGGTGATCTGTTGAGGTTGTTGCCAGTCACCCCCACTAACTTACAAATGGATATCACCTCTCCATAACAATAACAACATAATAATAATAGCAGAACTATAAAAAACACCAGAAGAATATACTTACAGTGGAACACCCTTTAAAACAAAATATAGATGTATACAAAGCACTTGCTTGTGCCAAACAATAATGTGAAAATAAAACACAATTTACATTTATATAGGAGCTCTCAGGAGGATGTTTTGAAGTGAGTACTGGTGATTTGGAAATGTCTAATAAACAGTGCACGACAAGTGCACATATTATTTGAATAAGGCAGGGTTACAGAAAGACTTTGCACTGAGTTTAACATTTAGCTAAGAGACACTCAAGGCGTAGCTTTATGAACAGCTGCTTATTGGAATCATCCAATGGTCAGACTCACTCAATGTATCATTTGAGATATAGTGAGTGAGTCTGACCATTGAACATTTATATGAAAATGTTTTTCTATCACATTTTTAAAAAAGATATAAATTACACACCCACATGACACAATATTACACCTGAATTTTCCAAAGTAGAACACAGGATGGTTGGGTGCACAG